CCCACAGGGGGAAAGCCATATAAGTGTTTGGAATGTGGAAAGAGTTTCACAACAAGCAATCACGTTACTTCACATAAAACTATCCCCACAGGGGGAAAGCCATATAAGTGTTTGGAATGTGGAAAGAGTTTCACAACAAGCAATCACGTTACTTCACATAAAACGATCCACACAGGGGAAAAATGACATGAATGCATCGAGTGTGGAAAGAGCTTCTGTAAAAATATATCCCTTATGAGACATAAAAGGATCCACACAGAGGAGAAGCCATATAAGTGCATGAAGTGTGGAAAAACATCTGTGAAAATACGTCCCTTATGAGACATAAAAGGATCCACACGGGAGAAGCCATATAAGTGCATGGAGTGTGGAAAGACTTTTACTCAAAACGGTAATCTTACTTCCCATAAAAGGATCCACACGGGAGAAGCGATATACAGTAAGTGCATGGAGTGTGGAAAGAACTTCTGTGAAAATAGATACCTTATTAAACATAAAAGGATCCACAGGGGACAAACCACATAAATGCATGGATTGTGGAAAGACCTTTCATACTAGCAGTGATCTTACTTCCCATAAAAGGATCCACACAGCGGAGAAACTATATAAATGTGTGGAGCATGGAAAGAGCTTCAGGAGGAGGAATGACCTAATTTCCCAAACACATTTCTCTTTGGGTGAAAATCCATGTAAATTCTAGATTTAGTTGTTTAAATCTATGCATTTTCTATTTGTGTACACTGAACTGAGAAAAGATTTCTTTGAGTCTGACCCTCACAACTGGCAGCCCAAGAAAAATTAATTACCAATGAAAATAAAAGGTCCGTTTTAATTATGAACTGAGTTTTTGAACATACTGTTATTTTAGGTGGCCAATGCTATTGCACATCCATAAGATGATTTATTTATTTATCTTATTTATATTTCATATTTATGTAGCCGCCCATCTCACACAAGGTGACTCTGGGCAGCGTACAACAATTTCAAAAATACAGACATTAAAACAATGACACATTAAAAAAACTAAAAACAAAGTGGAGGGGATACAATTAATAAGGGAGTCATCATAAAATCTCCCTGGTCCCCTGGCAGCCCCAGGCCTGATCACATAGCCAGGTCTTAAG